GAAGCAGTGGGAGGAAAGTAGTGCCTCCTTCCAATGCTTATTTTTCTAGCTAAAAGGGATTAAATAGACATAACTTTTCTTTGTGCTGTTCCCTCTGCGTCTGTTGCAATGAAAAATATCTGTACTTTCATACAAATTTGGAACTACTTAAAGCTCCCTGTGGGATGGAGGGTGGAGGAGGTAATCTAATATTTTAAGTGTTTCCTACTGCTGACTACTATTAGGAGCTTCAATGGAACATTTCCAAAATCTTGGAAAAGTTACTGCAATTTTTTTCGTAAAGTGGTCAGTTCCTTCAAGCTTAGGTGTCAGAACAGTGACTAGTGTTTGTGAATTACTGTAGTTTCTATGCTGTAATAAATATGTAAGACTGAATGTAAATATCTTAAGTGGCAAGAAGGGTGTCTGCAGAAAATGTTGCTTACTTTTCTCATCAGGAATATTGGTAAGCAAGTACTCCCTTTGCATATCACTTATTCAAAGAACTTTCTGTGTCATCTGATGGTTTTCTGAATATTTTTTGTGTCTTTGAATTTTCAAGCAGTTAAAGGAGGTAGAAAGGAGGAGCTGGTTAAGATGATAATCAGTAAAATTAAATTTGTATTAATTAAATATTAATTTATAATATTAAAGTATGAAAGTAGTTATGTAAAATCACTGTCAGAGTGTTTGCAGTTCTGACAACTCTTACTGTTTGTCCTTATCTGTATTAATAGCATACTACTATTGCTGTCTGTTTAACTCTAATGGTAGATTTCTAATGGCAAGGTATTTGTATCTGCATGATGGAATTTTTATTTTGGGGATTTTTTAAAAGACTATTCCAGTTGTTAAAAAAAAATCCCAGACAAACAAAAAAGCGAAAAAAAGACTTCCAGAGGCAAGCACTGAAGATTTGTAAGCAATTGCCAGCTTAATTATTTTTGCTTGTTTGCATACATTATTATTCAGTATTCAAGAGCATCACCATGTACTATCTATTTTACCAGATGCTAACATAATTCATTTTGCATGGTGAATGTGGAAGAAGAGAGTAGTTTGTGACTTTGCATTCAAAGGAGGACAGCTTTCTTGTGGTTAACATACTGTCGATAACCCAAAAGACTTCTGACAGATCTTTATGTGGTCATGACCAGGGCTTTTGTTACATATATGAACGATGGCAGCCCATTTAAAATACATAACATTGACAATGCCATTTACTGAATTGAATGCTCAACTTTTTCTGTTCTTAATGGAATGGAAGCTTCTGTACATAATTAGAAAATTCAACTTTTGACAGATTAATTTTTCACTTTAAGAGCTGAAGATGATAGTAAGATTTTACCTTTGCTATAGCTTGAATTTACTTATGTGTCACTCTCTTGACCAGTTTCAAACCTGCTTCAGATTTTAACCTTACTGAACTCTTGACAGTAGAATTGCATTTCTTTACACATTTAAATTTGGCCCACTGATTATTAGTTGATCTTCTGTGTACAATAGTTTTAAATCAGTTTTGTAAATGTTATGCTAAGTTAGGTTATAAGAATTTTGAGTTATCTTTCCCTCTTTTCTTAAAGTAAGCATGCTGTTTTGAGAGCTAGATCATGTAACGTAGATAGCTACAGTAAAGCCAAGTGGAAAATAGGACATTAAAATTAAATTAGAATGTGGTTCCTGTGGTTAAATATTGCATACTCCTTCAACATATGGTCAAAAGTCTTGACATGTTATCACTGAAACAACTGAAATGTGAGGAGAGAAGATTTTGGGGGACTTTTTTGTTTTGTTTTAAGCCCTGAATTGATGCTAGTTGTTCATTATCTGTCTTCTCTTTAGGCCTGTCTTTCTAAGGGCCTCCCAGGCCTTTACAGGCAGTGTTTAGTGGTTCTCTTGGGCTACCTGTTGGGGCTCTTTCCATTATTAAATTTGTTACATAGTTATACTGACTTGTCTTTTAATTTTTGACTTGTCACTTTTGTACAGCTTTGTACTGTTGTGACAACTGCATCAATGGACAGCACTAGAAACAATCTGGGCCCCGCAGCTCATTGCTGTCTTCGTCGGTGGTTGTAGCTCCAGCATCTTCGGCTAATGTCCTTGAGCCTCTTAAGATCTGGGAGGAGGCTGGGGGGAAGCAAGTCAGAGAAAGCGACAGTATTAAGGATTGCTGTGAAATGCTTTCTCATGACCTCAGTCATTCTGGTGTTTTCCAAACTCAGGAAGAAAAAGTTTTTTCTTTTTAGTGTTTTGTTTTAATTGCAACTCTAACCTTTTGATCTCTATTCTCTGCATTAAGACAAGATTTTTTTTTTTATTATTTTAAATGAAGTGGGATTTGTGAATTGGATTTAGCTTTTCTTTTTATAGAGACACTTCTTGATGGTAGCACTAATATTAGTAGCACTAGTCTGTTTTATTAGCAACGACCTTTACTTATGCATAGTTCTCTGTGAATGGTGTGAAGCCATGGGGGGGTGTGGAACCATTGATCTTGCACTCAGGATGTGAAATTTTGGACAGCTCATTTGCTGTCTAAACAATGTTGAACTGTAGCCACTGACAACTGGTCTTAATTAGTGATACTTCTTTATAGAAGCAAGCTGTTCTAATTTAAGAGGATGCTGAAAATCCTCTTAAGAAGATAAGGCAATATAGATTTTGGCAGTATCCAAACCTAAGGCATAAGTTTAGTGCTACTGGAGCTATCTTTTCTTAGTTTTAAACAAAATTCTTAATTGAGACTCCCTAGCTTTGACTTCTTCAGTTGACTTCACTTACTAAAGCATGTTTTACTCTCTCCTGTGTATTTATTACTGTGCAACAATTGCTTTTGTTTTCAATGGTTATAAAATTATTTTTTTTTTTAGATTTAAGGTACTCATTTCTATTTCTCTTTCCATAGAGAAATGACATTGCCATTGAGATTTGTTAGCTGACAATTAATGGCTCTCTAGAACAGTACTCAGAAGAGTTTACCTGTCTGTTGCTTTTCATCATGCTTCTGAAGGCAGTAGTGAAGGCAGAACATAGTTCTTGTTCCTTTCCAGTTCTCAGAAGAATAAAACTTTGTTAGGAAAACTGGGGAGAAATTGGTATGTGCAGTTGATTGTGAACATCTGACAAATTATGGCGAACATGCTTTATAATTTATGATGTGATATGACTTCAGTGAATGAAGAGTGGGTGACACTTTGTTCCATTTGCTTTGAGGATGAGTCTTGTGTTGCAGTTACATGTCCTCTATAAAGCAGAATAAAAACCCAAACCAACCAAAGAGAAATAGTCTGACCTCTTAATATTTCTCTCCTAGAAACGTTAAAGCACTTTTTGAAAACAAAGCAAAACCTCTGCCCCAAATCTTAGATTTTTAGGCTATTCGGCTATCTACTATAGAATGTCAGTGCGTAGTATTTTAGCCTGTATATATATGATTTTTTTGACCTTTTTATTATGTCTATGGCAACAGCATCTTATAGATGATAATAATTCATAGATATTTTATTACTGTAATATAATGCTTGTGTGTACAAGTAAAAATAAAAATTTAAGGGGTAACTACTGTTTCATCCAATGAAACTGCTTGATTCTGCTTTTCTGCCAGATGTGTAATACTAAAATTGTACATATTTAGGAAGCTAGTCGATTTTTTTAATGGACTTCAGCTTTAAGTTTGATTTCTGTTGCTACACACAATATTGAGGAGTACCATACCTGTGTTTCAAAATTCTGTTTTTGCATGGAGTGGGTCAGCCATGTCAATGTCTAGGAGATCTGTATCCTGAGCAGCCACAGAGGACTATGTGTTCTCAGGAACAAAGAACACTGGAGACACCTTTAGGCTACTCACCTATTACTGCTGCCCGTGGAGCCGCACTATCGCCTCGAGAGGTAGTTGCCTGGCAGCTGCCCAGCTCACCAGCCACCTGAGCTCTGACATAGCTATGCCAGTACGGAGTCATTATCAAGCTGGCTGCTGTAGTCGTAGTGTAGCGTGCAAGCTGCAGTGACGAGGCAGTAGCTATAACCATAGAGACGTGTGTCCAGGAGATATGTGCAGAAGACATGTGTTGAAGACTTGCATCAAGACCGTTTCCTGCTACAGCAGGCAGCTGCTATATAGCTTTATCTCATAAAGTTAATATATTACAAGAAGGCACCCTCTCTGGTCATTTTGGAAAGCTAGAATTTTTCTGCCCTGATGGCTGGAATCTGTTCTGGTATTCAGCTCATTTCTTTTATTGCTGGTTTATTTTCATTTGTCCATGTGCCAGTGCTGTAGTTCCGTTTTGGTTGTCATCTGAATACTTTAAGCTAGGTGTACATTAGGAAGAAAGAAGAATGGTTGAGTATGTTTATAATCCTTCTTCCACCCCCCACCCCTTAAAAAAAAAAAAAAAAAAAAAAAAGAAAAGGCAAGTGTTTGGGGTAGTTTTCCATTCTCTATAAGGAGGAAAGTTCCTTTCCCTCTTTAAAATATCAGCATACAGTGTATTTTGGATCACTCTTTCTCCAGTGTGATTCACCAGAATTCACCCATTAGGGCTTCTGTATCAAGTTTTTTTCATTTCCTCTGGCTAGTTCCTTTGGAGTTTACATGGCTTTTATTTTTTTGAGTGCTTGCATTGGGGTTGTCACATTGGGGATGTCAGGATATCATAATTCATTTATCATAAAGCTTAAATAATGCAGTAGAAGATCCTTCATGTTTTTGTGAAAAAGACAGTGTTTGTTGTCACGGAGCTCTTCTCTTTTCTGGCTGCTCTGTTTTTTTACTTTTGTTCTTCCTTAGCAAAAATCTTAATACTCTTTAAAAAGAATAAAGAAGAAATGGAAATTATGTTTTAATATTTTTGGGAAAAGAACAAGTTAATCCTCTTTTTTTATTTATTTCTTATTTAGCATTTCTAGTAAGTTTTACTTTGAGATACATTAAGGATTTGATACATGTAAGTAAACACAGCAATTTTGCCCATGGTACCATGATTATGCAGTGTTTGCAAGCATATTTGTGCTTTGAGAGCTTACAATTAATTATAGACTTGGATTGATAAGTGATGCTCTTGAGACTTGAATAGGAAATGGAGAAGAAAAGGGATTGTAATAATGTTAAGCATGTACTATATTCAGATTAAAATCTAGGGGTTGTTAGAACTTGCCTGAGTCTACACCTTTTTAATTCTAAATTTTGTCGTCCAAACTTTACACTGCTGAGACTGATGGGTTAGTATTATCAGTGAGATATATCAAAACTGCTTTTCCAGCTAGTGACTAGTAGAGAAGGAGAAGAGGGTCTATTGTGTCTCGAGAGATCTTACGTCAGGCTTTTAGCATCTGGTTTCCCTTTTGGAGCAGTCTGGGAAGTGTAGGGACAGCCAAAAAAATTAATGCATGCAAAGTGAGGCACAAGAAGGGACTCATGCACTTCTGATTTCTAAGGTCCAGAAGTAATAAAAAATAAATAATTAAGAACTGTAAGCATCCTAGAACACCATGTGTATGTTTTGTGAATTTATATGGGGGCCTTGCTGACCAGTGCTATCCAGCTTAAAGTAGTCCATTTTGCTGCATCGATATGGTTTGGTTCATAACATTACTAACATTTGAGTAGAGGTATATTTTAAAACATTGACAGTTAACTTTGGTTAACTTAATTTGAGGAGCTGGTATTCGCTGTGAAGCTTGCATTTCATGATTCAATAGATATACATTTTTTAATTTTTTTTTTTTTAAATAATAGCCTATGCCTGCATAACTTCCAGTAGCAATGTTTAAAGGCTTGCTTATGATGTTAGACTACAGTAGTTATTTTGGATCGAAAGGATATTACAGACCTCCTACCCACAAACATAGAAGATATAGATTGTTCATCTGGTACTCAGTAATTTTTTTCTTTCTTCTCCTTTTATTACATCAAGTTAGTGATGTCCTTTAAACCTGTTCCTGAAGTTATAATTTACCTTAAAATCAAGTGGATGATAATACAGTATGTTACTTCTCACTGAGCATCATTGTACACTTAGTTCCCCTTCTAGTTTTGTTATAACTGAGTAAATATTACTTAGAACAGATTTCAGAAAATGAAAGACTTCAGAACACACAAAAGCCATTCCCAGTCTGTATAGTTCATCTTACCCTTTCATAAAAATCATTTGGAAAAAAAATACACATGAGATAGTTTATGCAGAAATAAGCCTCCTTGGTTAGGCCAGTGTCTTAAAATTTGTCAATAACAGTATTGGCTAGGCAGCCATGATTTTGTGATTAGTGATGCCAAGTCTGAACAGGAACACCCACTTGAGTAATGATTTTGTCTAGTGCTTAAAAAGCGGGAGCGAACCAAGAGGAAAAGGTATAAAGGGAAAGACTGGGAATTTGCAAAATCTGAGAATGATTTGGCAGAGCATATCCTGTCAAAATATTCTTCTAATATTCTTCTAAACAAATGACGCATTACCTGATAGTGTTACCCTTGTAGTACATGATTTTGGCATGTCATTTGGTGTGGGAAAAGAACACTGTGAAGCTGCAGACACTTTGAGGAATTTTTGGTTTTCCAGAAGAGAAACAGGTATTTGTCAAGTCTTTAAGTGCTCTTTACATGAAGCAGAACAGGCTGTATTGCCTGTGGGGCAGAACAGGGAAAATGCAGCAGCATGACTGAACACCACCACGTTTGCCTTCTCTGAATATAGGATACTGTTTGAACACATTAGAGCTTTATTACTAACTTCAACATTTTTGCGGTAGTTGCACTAATTAATATCTTGTGAATCTTAAGTGTTCTTTAAAAATAGTTTTTCCCATCTATGCAAGAATTTTCAAATGGGAGTCCTTGCTGTGAACCCCCTTCTCATTAGTAAAGGAACAATTTTTTTTTCTTTTTGTATTCTAATCTCAACTATTTTCTTTCATTAAAGAAGAAGAATTAAAACCCTTTCATTTTCTAAGTGGCTGTTAGCTCAAGATTTATGTTTATAATAATAGATAGAGTAGTGTTCTTTAGACTGAAAATTTTATCTTTATTTTGAAATAAAACTTACCTTTGCTGCTTCTTCTCAGCAATTGACTTAAAGAATGGCTCTGGAGCAGTGTATCAAGGACCTGCAAGAAGTTCTGCTGATACCACCTTCACTCTCTCGGACGAGGATTTCATGGACGTGGTACAACAGAAGACAAACCCCCAAAAGGTAAAACCTGTGTATCTCACATGCTCACTTGCATGGGCACGTATTAGTGGCCTTAAAGCTGTGGTTCATGACTGTTTGCATTCTGAAATCTGCAACATTGAATGTTTTGACAGTGCAAACCAGAGTCAGATGAGGTGTAAGTGCATCATTACCTTATACTGACTTAGTCAGAAGACATGTTTATGCCATCTTTATTACCTTGAGACAAAAATACTTCAAATGACATAAAGCCTGACAGTGCAAAGTAGTTTGGTTCTTTCCTGGAATTTCACTATATATGATTTGCAAGGTTAGGGTTCATCAGTTTGAGCATTCGGGCTGTTTTGATTGGTCATATTGGAGGAAGTTGGTATTTGTTGCGGTATTCTGGTTAACTGCTAGTACTGCAGCAAAGAGGAATCTTGGACAATGCATGCATTTAGATCCATTGAAACTGGTAAAAATTCACCCAAACTAGGTAGTTTTTAAAGGGAAAGGAAGATTTAAGAAAGGTATGTAATCTGGGTCTGCACTTTTAACTTCTTGGAGTAATCAACTGCTTAAAACTACTGATTTTACTAATAAAAATACCTTGTGTTAGAGTAAATTAGACTGTCACAAATTTAATATGTCAGCTTACAGATTAAAGCTTGAGCAAATGAAAACTTTAATTAGGTTCATCGTATATCAAACAGTTCCTTTTTTTTTTTTATCCAAAGCAGAAGTTGTTGGAGACTTTGATTATAAAATTGGAGACTAACAGTGATAGGAAATATTTGTTTTAAATCCCGCACGCTACATGAGTAAAATCCTTTGTGACCTTATGTATATAGCAGGCATAAAGCATAAACAAACATGATGTTGCCGTGTAATCTTGAGAATGCTGAAGAACAGTGATTGCAATTCAGGAACATTATCTATTCTTAGGCATTAGTATTTCCTTTGAGTTTCTGTGAAGTTTTTCATCTAAAGAAGCTCAAAGCATCTATTTAAATTCTTTTCTGCTGTCTTTCTCTATTCCTTATTTGAATGTATTTCAAGTTAATGGAACTACGCGAAAGCACATTGTTTCAGAACTTTCAAAGAGCTTTCAAATTGTAAAGCCACAGCGAAGCAAAACTAGTTTTAAAAAAGTACTGAAATAGATTGAAACAGGGTATACAGCTCTTTGAAGTAGGGACAATAAAAATGTAATATACCAGCATTTCAATGAAAATATTGGTTGATCTATGATTCTGCAAACACAACAAAATCTTGTTGAGTTCCTGTTTGTTGTAACATGCTATGTATAAAGCCAGAGCATTTCTTTGGAATATGCGTGTACGTATATTGTGCAAGTTCGTGTTTTGATTTATCATGGGTCTGAGTGAGCAGCTGACCTTTTCGTTAGGCCTTTAATTTTCATTAAATGGCCTTTTCATTCTGTTTTCTCGTTTCATGTAAGCATATATGGATATCTACAGCACAGGGAGGTGTGGACTGGGAGCTTTATTTTTGTACTGTGGTGAAGTTTTGCCACCAGCTTCTGTGAAGTTTGTCATATACCAGAAGTCCTCTGTGCTATATGTAGAAAAGAAATGGGAGGCCACTGAAGTTGCTTTATATTTACATTTTTTGCCCTGAGTGATAGGCTTAGCCTTGCCTGCACTTTAGATAGAAAACTGTGATTCTGGATGCTGTTAAAATTAGATTTGGATGTTTTTCTGTTAATGACCAATAACCAATGTGCATTGTGCACTGAAGGCTTTCTCCTGAGCAATAAACAATCACACTTATCTTTGGCTTCTTGCTGGATTTTAGCAACTCTTTGAATTGTGGGTGAACAGTTTTGAATACTTTTTTGTTTTTCCCCTCCTCTGCTTTTTGTAGGCATTCTTTTCTGGTAAACTGAAAGTGAAGGGGAACATCATGCTGAGCCAGAAATTGGAAATGATCCTGAAAGATTATGCCAAACTCTGAACTGCTTGATCATCTACCACAGCAGTGAAGAACTTCAGAAGACAGAAATTTCAATTAGTTCAGAACCAATGACTGAAACATTCGCAGGCTACTTAACATCAGTGTACTGATTCATTATACTGCTAATATACAAGCTGTTTAATTGCTGTAGACAGAAAGTTATTAAATGAATGTAACTGTTAATATAATCCCTTTTTTATTTCTCAGCACAGGTAGAGAATCACACTTTTCTCATTGCAGACGTTTAAATAAAATGTATGTAGTTCTTACAAAGATGCATATATTTCTATACTAATTCTGAAGAAAATTAAACCAATACACCTCTCTGATATCTCCTTTTTGTGTCTGTCAGTCTTCATTTATGTTGCATTCGATAGACCATTTAATTTCTATGAATCTACTGGTTTATTATTAAAATTAACTTTTTTTTTCTCTTAAGTTCTCATGATCCCATTAAAACAACTGGAAAATGGAAGTCAGTTCCATTTGTTTCCATCTTGCCATTATGGATTTTTTTTTTCTGCACAGGAAAAATATCTTGTACTTTAGCTCTGCCCACCTTATTTAGACAGTCATTTTTATATCAGTTACTCTTGTAAATTACATGGGAAGTGGTAAGCATGAATTCTTTAGGGGAAACTTTCATCTGAGAGGTATTACACTGCACCAAATGTTGTCACTGTAGCCAAACTGTTCTTCATGTAGATTCATTCTCATGAGGGCCGGCATCTTGGCATCAGGGAAAGATGTAAGAATGAATACCTCATTTTGTACCTATGGCCAGAACTGAGCTGTGGCCATAGTTTTTCATGAAGAAAGTATCCTCTTAATCACTGGTTGTCACATGACCATCTGGAAATTTGATTTCACCAATGTGACCAACATTTTGTGTGCTCGGTATCTTTTTTTCTCATTCAGACTTGTTCTATGTTGATAGCTCTTGAAGAATTTAGGCTGTCTAAGGCTTGTCTCCTTGAACAGAATGACAAACCGATTTTGATTTATCTTAGAGGATGGAATTTTTCTTTTTTTCTTTTTTTTTTTTTTTGGCTGAAAACTGGGAGATACATCACTGCCCTGACTGTAGCCATTAAAGAGCCTTTTGGGGCTGCAGATGAGTTTGACAGTTTGAGGATAAATTCTACATGTTGTAGTACTGCATCAAATTCTCCACAAATGTATTTCTTCACAGCTGTGCTATCAGCTGTGCTTTGATTCAGGCAGAGAAATATGAGTCTGAAGTATGTCAAGTATCTCACATAAATTACATCATGAATAAATGGGGAACAGCATTTTGTGGTGATGTTCACCACCTCAAAGAGGCCATCCAATAGAAATGATTGAAGAAATGTCCTTTAACCACTTGTTACTTTTTTCACAGCAGTCATTTCCCCATATGTAAGTAGGGCCTAATCATTGCCTGTACTCTCAGCTTCTGTTTACCAAGCAACTTTGTGACAAACAGATAAAGGTATCTTCTATTACTTTCTCTTAAGAAATTGCATGAGAAAGACAGGTTTGTTTTTAGTTTCATATGTTTATGCATGCACATGCTACACCAAAAAAAATCCATTTTCCATGTATATCTTTTCTATGTATATATAATGCTATAAAAATATGTGTATTAAGAAAAAGGAAACCTGAGGAACTGACTTTGAGTCTAGAAAAGCAATTATTAATCCATCCATTACAGAATATGGTATTCACTTTAGGTCTCATGGTCTTGAAATTTCACAACAGGACGTTTTTTTCTGAGCCCCATAGATTGTCTGAAACCTTAAAGCACTGCTCTGCAGGGAGAGAACATGCTGCTAGTAAGCTTTTTTTTTTGCCTCCCCTTGGGAAGTGGGAAGCAAAAATCTTCAGGCAAGGGAAGCTGGTACTGTTGAAACCTGTTGTGATTTAGCAGGTTGGAGTTCAGTCTACTAAAGAACATCAGTTTACTAAATGTGTTGGATGAGCATGAAAGAATAACCCAAGAACCACATCAGTTACAGGTACACTTGCGATGGTTTCTCTCCTGTGTAGTTTCAGTTGGATGCAAAATCCACATGCTTCAGTTGTATCACCAATAGTAGCCTTAATTAAAAACACTGAAGATACACCCCAAAGTTACACTGGTGTTTGGCATATATATCCTAGACTTTAGCCTGACTTAGCTTTTTCCTGCACCATGACTTGGTCATAGGTGTTTATCTTCGGTGGAACAGAAAGTCCAAGGCTCCTCCTTTGCTCTCCTTACTGAGGCTAATTGAGCACAGCTCTCGGTATTGTGGTAGACTCTTTTCTAGGAGCACAATTCAGGTGTTTAATTGCTTCATCTGCTTTGTGGCTGGAACAGCTGTTATTAATGATTTTGGCATGCTGGTTTCATCTCTGCCCCAATGTGTTTACCTTCAGAATGTTCTAGTTAGCTGAAGATAACTAGTAGTTTAACCTGTTACTGTTGAAGGTAAGGTCATTTGATATGTTGAGTATATACCTGAAGTGATTTGGAGGTTTTGGTTTTTGTTTTCTTCCTAGTACATGAAAACCTTCTGTTCATGGCTGCTGGCTTTTACAAGTAGTATTCTCAGAAATAAGTAATAAAACCGAGTGTCCCTAAGAATCCATGCAAGGGAATATTAGCCAGTTTGATCGGTGGTTGTTTCAGTCTGAATGATTCTCAGCTGCTTTTGTCTAGAATGGTGCCATTCTGCTTTGGGGGCTCATGTTTCAAACCTGTCCATATCTCTTATCTGGACCATTTTTGGGGACCTTTCTTGTCATCCAGCAGCAGCAGCAGCACCAGTATAGTGTTGCATCCATTTCCACACAGGACTTGGAGACATGCAGCAGCAACAGACCACATCATTTTTTTTCAGGGTAGCTGCTGCTTTGAATGTTTTTTCTTTCCTAGGGGTAAGCACCATTACCTTAGGTTGCAAAGCTCCCTTGTTTGCCAAACATCCCAGCTCTTTAGTGGTATTGCTAAATTCTCTAGCAAGTAAGGAAGCTTTTACAAGCATCTTAGCAGTAAAATTCTTAATGGTGCATATACTTATTTAATGTAGAGGAGAGCAAGATTGTTGCTGTTTATTGCAATGTGTGCTTTATAGTGTTTTGATTAACTCTGTATGTACATGAAGTGCTGTCTGGACGTCAGTGTAAAGTCTGGACATCAGACTTTGTAGCAGTTGGAGGTAAGAATTCCGTTGTCTTTCTGGAATAATTGAGTCAGTGCTAAACCTGGGTGTGTAAATTGGTGTGATTTTAAATCATGACACAGTATTATTTTTATTTCTCTTTTTCCTTCTCTGTACATTCATTACAGTCTTCCTACTGGCTTGCAGTTATGTCCATCCCCTAAAAAGTAAATTGCAGTTCCACTGGTGTATGTCCTCTTCAGTCATTTATGAGTCCTCTAATTAAAGCAAGAGAGCAGTAATAATGGATGGGAAAAGTTATATAAGCTTTCTGTCTATGAGTATGGGCTTCAGAGAAGCCTGGCTGAATTTTATGCTTTCTAGTCACTGAATTGTTCTTAATTAGTTTATTTCAGAGGAGTTCAATACACCTTCCAGCTGTCATCAATAATTACAGATAACAGCTCTTTAAATGTTGACAAGCGCATTCATAATCAGAGAATATTAAAATGAATAACATGGTGGAGGAGCAGAGGCATGAAAGAGGTAAACGAGCAACTTCAGACCGAGAAACTTAACATGCTGTCCCCTCTGAGGATTATTCCCACCTCCCTACAGGGACCCCACTCCTAAGGGTTATTTGTATTCTAGTCTGTTGGGCTGCACTACTTGTAAAAACAACTGTCCCTCGTCGCTCAAGAGTATCTCAATAAACTGAAATGCTTTGTAAAATGGAAGAATTCGGTGGTATAACAAATAAAGTATTCTAAGCTGGATAAATAAACATTTTTGAATAGTTTAATGTAGGGGGGTTTTTTTTGGTATTTTTGGAGTTTTTTGGTTGGTTGTTTTCGGTAGTAAGACTCTTTAATATACTGCAATATACCCCGACAGAGGTCAATGTCACTGAAATTACGTCTTCTTTACCCTCCACAAGCCTTAGGGGCAGAGTAGCATGTGGAAGATGATGACTTCGTCTTTACATAATATTGCCCCCTAGCGGGAATGAAGATCTGTGTAAAGAAAGGATAAGTCTCACTGCAGTGTTTTCTTTCTGATCATAATCTCTGAAAGGGTAAAGGGAGAAAGAAAATACTAGTATCTCCCAATTCCTGCAATGTTTTTTTCTTCTACATCAGTTGGTGCAGATATCTTTCTACTCACATGAGAATGAGTTCTCCATGGTTCATCTGCAGTAAGAAATTCTGTCCTTCAGGCCATAGGCTGTGCCTCCAGCAGGCTGACCTAGACAGCACTGGACATCAGCAGATCTGAAGTCAGTTAGGAAAAATTTAGTAGACTATGAATGTGGCTGCATGTATATGACTTTTGGATTGCCTTTATGATACAATTCAAATGTGTCATCTGTCTAAAAATCAGTGCATTGAACTGGCATGATAGGATCTTAGATCAGCAGATAGGCTGAGCTCTGTAAGAGGTGGATCTCTTTGTGTCTCTCACTGAGTACTATCAAAGTTCCCATTAAATTACATGTTCTAAGGTCACTGGATCTCAAAGACAGAATCCAGCAAGGTACGATAATATGTAAAGTTGTCCAAGTTACATGGTGTGAGGTGTATGCATCTTGCTAAAAGCCATTTTCAGACATTATTCCTCTTATGTTTCCCTATACTATGTATGCTTTGATGATGTCAAATGCCTTTTTTCACTAGAATTAATACTATTTTAATAAAAAATGGGCATCACATAAGCTGAAAAACAATTGAGAATATGAAAATTTAAAGAAATTAATTTAGGTTAAGGTTAAAGTTACAGAAATTATAGAAGCATATAATCTCACACAATCTTAAAACATTTTTTAGAAGTTTCATCAAGTCAGTGTACTGAATTTGTCATCTGTTTAAACCAATACTTTCTCTTTCCCCTTCCTTGCTTATGCTGTCTCCCATTTTGCCAGTTGTCTTGAGAAGGCATGTCAGAAGGAGCACAATCATAGGTTAGCGTAGCAATGTCAGTAGTTTATGAAGACTTGGATTTGGAAAGGGAGAGAACAGTCTGTTGTGGCATCTAGAATTCATCTGGATCTCGCTCAGCCTTGAGTCATGACAGAAATGAAGCTGTCATAAAAATCTTGCAGTTGGGATTTCAGGATTTCTGTGAACTAAGTACAAAATGGAATAAATAGGTATAAGTTTGTGTTTCTATACAAGTTTGTGTTTCTATCCACAGCCCACTCAAAAAAGCATTTG